ATGGCGATTAAACTGTATTCGTGTGGTCTGAGCACAATTCGCTTAATAATGTGCGCTCAGACCTGAGCTATCTGGGGACATGTTAAATGTATAAGTTTATTGTAATGTGTCTTACATAGTGTATTTTAACAGTAATTTGTGTTTTAGTATCCCCACGTGCATAATGGCGATTTGCCTTTGTCTTGGGAGATAATTGAATTACTTCTCAATTATCTCTAAGGCAGAGGGGAGGAAGCCAGGATGCATTGTGGGAATATACTGTGACTGTGTGTCCTATTTGTCTACTTGTCTGTCCTTTGTCACAGTCTCCCATTTGGTCCCCTAGGGGAGTGTCCACCAGGTGGGAGACCTGCATAAATACTGGGCAGGTAGCCCTCATTAAACAGACCACTGCTTGACCCTCAACACGGAGCCTTGTCTCGTCTTCGGGGGGATTTACTGTATGCTGATAGAGACTGATTGCTAGGAGTGTAAGCCGCTTGGAGGCTTTTCCTATTTGTCTGCTAGCAGCTATTCGTATGGTTCCAGTTCGTGAGTTTGGAGTGCTATATTGTATGCAGTTCGGGAGATTGGAACATTCCCTTCATGTGGTTCAGGAGTTTGGTGTTCTACAGTGGCTGTGCCTGCATCTCTGGAAAGGGGATGATCGCCTAAACGGTTTTAACCCCTTGTGTGCTGAAACGGTCCGTTACATATATATATATATATATATATATATATACACAGAGAATAAAGAGATGCACTCTTAGGACTTAATAAATGAAAAAGGAGGTAGTTTATTCCAATAGGTATAGCATCAGAAATTGAAGACGTTTCGACCCATTTGGGTCTTTCTCAAGGTCAATGTACCTGGCTACAAAAGTTATATATATAAGAAATAAGAAAATGTACTCACCAATCATGAAGAAACCCCTGAATCCCTTCGTGCACACTCAGAAATGAAACCGGAAGTGAAAGCCCGTGATCACGTGATGCATGTGTGATGACGTGGTGTTGCTAGGATACCGATAAACAAACGTAATTATAAGATCGGTATGATGACAGGTGTATATGTCGGATGTGCAAGTGAAATGCCTAAAATCAATTCATAAAATATGTATATACTATCTCATTAAAGTGCAAAGTGCATGAAACAGCAAAAATATGAAAAAAATTTAACAAAAGTGAAAAAAGATCGTGATATCATATGTACTATGAAGAGTGTCACTATGTACCCATTAAAAGGGTGACCCAAAGTAAAGTATGTTAAAAGCATTTCACATACCATGTCAGGATAATGGGCATTAGTTAGAATATCTAATAGTGATTAAACACTAATGACTTAAAAAAGGAGAGTTAAAGCTATTAAGATAAAGGCTCCAAACACAGAAAAGAACCATGAGCATGCAAGTAAAGAGGATAGCATCAAGAGGCATATACAGCAGGTCATATATATGCCACAGGCATACTATAGATATAAATAAAAAATAAAAATAGTAAAACTAATAATAAAAAAAAGCAACAAAAATAATATTAAAGAAACATGGAGAGCACAATATTTTTGTTAAGTCCTCTTGGTGTTACTGTATCTAATCAATGAATCCATTGTGCCTCACACTGAAGTAGCTTCTTCGATCTGTCACTTCCTCTGGGCATCGGGGGGACATGGTCAATGCCTACAAAACATAGCATAGGGAGTCTATGTTGCATATGTAAGAAGTGTTTGGCAACTGGCTTGTCACTACGTTGATCCCTAAACGCTGTCGTTATGGTCGACCGATGTCCCCTTATGCGTTCTCTCAATGTCAAGTCGGTCTTGCCCACATATGAGAGTCCGCAGGGGCATGTGATCATGTATATCACATGGTCAGTGGTACAAGTAATATAATGTGGTATTTTGATTCTCTGACCACTATGGGGATGAGCAAAGGTCATACCACTGACCATGTGACCACACGTCACACATCCACTGCATTTGTAGCAGCCTTTCTTGGAGATACTCTCAGGTTTGCGGTAGCAAATTATTGGGTCACTTTTCACCAGAAGGTACTTTAAATTTTTGTTCCTTCTGTAACTGATAACTGGAGAACCCATGAACGTATTGGGTAATGACTTATCTGATCGTAATATGTCCCAATGTTTTTAAATGTATTGTCTTACTTTCGATGTTCCTGTGTGAAAGGTCATGGGGAGATAAATTCTTGGTTCTTTTGGTGCCTTCTCGGTTTTATCGTTCAATTTTTTTCGATTCCATATTTCCAAGGCTTTGGTCTGTGCTATTTGGAGAATCTGTGGATGGTAACCACGTGCACGAAATCTATCCCACATCTCGTCAAGTTGAATTTTAAGTTTTTCTGTTTCCGTGTTATATCTTAATGTTCTTAAAAATTGAGAGATTTGTAATGATTTCTTGAGTTGTATGGATGAAAACTAGAGGCTGAAAGGAGAGTAATGTGCTCAGTGATTTTGCGGTACATAGTAAATTCCAGATTGTTTCACTTCTTATAGATGGTCACGTCCAAAAATTGAATTGACTTTTCATCAATTTGATGACTCAAAATAACTGGTGTAGGTGATTGGTTTATCTCATTAATCATTTGCTCCAAATCCATCATGGTGCCTGTCCAAATCATAAAAAGATCATCCACAAAACGATAGTAGTGTTGAATGTATTGTCCAAATTTTGCCAAAATATGGGTGCATTCAAAGGTGTACATGTAGGCATTGGCATATGATGGTGCCATTGCCGCCCCCATCGCGGTTCCGGATAATTGCACGTAGAACTGGTTTTCAAATTTAAAATAATTACATGTAAGTGCAATCGTCAAGAATTCTAACAGGAACTCAATCGGCGGTCCTTCATATATTGTAGATTCGATTAGGATATCTCTCCAAGCCTGTACACCCTCCCCATGGGGTATAATGGTGTACAGGCTCTGAACATCCATCGTAACAAGTAGAGATGTAGACTCCACATATGGTGATAGTTGAATTCTGGACATAAAATCTTGTGTATCGCGCAAACATGTAGATAGAGCCATAACGCTGTCCTTAATAAAAGTATCAATATATTTGGCAACAGGTTCGATTATGCCATCCCTAGCCGAAACTATTCGTCTCCCTGGTGGTTGTAGTGGATCTTTATGAATCTTCGGTAACGTGCAGAGTACCGGGTGCCTAGGGTGCTCTACTGTGAGATATTGAGTTGTATGAGTATCCAAATATTCCAATTGTAGCCCCAATTCAACGTGGTTTTTAATTATTTTCTGGAATTTTGCCATCGGATCAAAAGTAAGTTTTACATGTACCGAAGTATCACTAAGTTGTCTTAGTATTTCTTTCCGATATTGATCATATGATTGTATCACCGTGGCTCCACCTTTGTCAGCCCCACGAATTACTATACTAGGATCTTGACTAAGGTCCTTCAAAGCCACTTTTTCTCCCAGGGTCAAATTCTGATGAAACAGAGGTGAATTTTTTTATAATTTTTTCTGTGTCAGTTTTGAATAAACTGAATAAACGCTTTAATGGAAGAATTAGCAGTCCGAATATCCTTTTTATTTTTGGTTCGGAAAAACGTGAGTGGATTTTGTGTTAAATGTGTCTTGATTTCGTTACTGTACAGTGTTCTTTGAATCTTGTATAATTCAACTTCCATCCTAAACAAATCAGGCTTTGCAACTGGAACAAAGGAGAGACCTTTATTTAAAAGTGAGTAGTGATCAGAATTAAGTGCTTTATTGGATAAGTTGAATATCGTTATCTCCTCATCCTGGGTGGTTTGCCCGTGAGGTTTGTATTTTTTCCAATTTATTTTCCCTCGCCATATTGGTTGACTCTTTTTGCGCCTCTGGTATTGATTCGTATTGTGTCTGGAGGTTCGTCTAGGCGTGCACCTCTTTCTAAAAAAGGATCCGGGGTTTGTCTTTTTAAATCTTCTCTGGAGTCTGGGTCTGAGGTGGAGTCGCCTGAACTAGCATCAATGGTGTTAAATAAAGGCTTGCATATTTTGGTCCAGAATCTGAGCCTAGATCCGTAGTTTTCTTTGGCACCTCCTAGCCATCTATACACCTGGTGATATTTATAGTCGTTATTGACTTTCTCCAACTTTTGTTTCATAAACCGAATTAAATCTTATATATATATATATATATATATATATATATAAACAAATACGGGACCATGTTAAATTAAAAAAAATCTCTTATGGTGAATTGATAACATGTTAATTTTGATGCATCAAAAACTTGTCAGTTTAGTCATTAAAATAATGTCATGTGAAGTACAAGCAACAATGGTACAAAACACATTTCTATTTCCATGACGACTGCCAGATCCGTAGCAATTGTCCATTGTCCATGAATTTAGAAATACTATTCTGAAAAGCATTATTTATTAAAGTAAAATTAATATTCCTAATAAAATTGAAAACGTTCTGGTTTTTTTTAAAATGTCAATAAAATATATTGTGACCATCTACACATTAGCCATAGTGGCAGATAAATTTGTGCCCAATGTGTTCTAAATGTTCTGGGCTATTAAATGTGCCACTTTCTCTAATTGATTTGCACAGTGCATATGTCCTATACCAGGGGAAATGCTATAACAAGTGTCCACAAAAAAATATATTAAACTTATGTTCGTTATTTACTATTTTGCATTGAAATTGAATAGTGTGATTAAATGTTCTATTTTATATGGGTCACAATTTTTCCCTGATTCATAATTATCTACTTGAAAACAAGGCACACTGAGCAGAGTATTGCCTAGATTAGATGAGTTCTACGAGATCCCAGCAGGCATTATACCCAGGCAGGGCCAGCACTACCATATTTTGGACAGGTGGCTGCCTTCGGGCACACTGGCCCATGAAACACAAAGATGTTCGAGTAACCGGAGGGAGGCGGACACTCTCTGTAGCCATGCTCATAGTGTGAGGGGAAAACCTCATGCAGTCTGAGAGAGGGGTGGCTCCAGCGAGGGAAGCTGCAAGGAGCGGCCATGGCCAATCACATTAGAGGCATACATGGGATATATGATGTCATATCCCGGTGGCCGAGCACTCTGGGGAGAGAAGGGCAACTTCTTTTGGGCAGAAACACCTGGTGGGATTCCTGATAAGAAACAGTAAGTGTGTGTACATATGAGCAAGTGAGCGTGTAAGAGTCAGTGTGTGTCCAAAATCCATTGTGTGTGTGTAAGGGCCAGTTTGTGTATGTGTGTGTGCAAGAGCCAGTGTATGTGTGTGTGTGTGTGTGTGTTTAAGCCCCAGTGTGTTTGTATATGCCTATGTATGAGCCTGTGAGGGCATGTGTGCGTATTGATTAGTAAAACGTTTTCATTTAGAGTTTATTATTTATTTTTCCCATTTAAAAAATATATTCATATATGTTTGTTTGTATATATATATATATATATATACACACACACACACTACAGAGTAGAACAATCAGAGAAAGGGGAGAGACACAAAGGAGCAAAAGAGATAAGATACCCTAAAGGGGGAAATACATTTAGAAGGGGGATAAAATACATAAGGGGTTTAGAAGGGGTTAAAATAAAATAAACCTATCATGCTTTTAATGTATCATTATCGTGATACATTTTGAGGGACCCTGTCACTGGAATATAGTAAAGGTTATTATGCAAATAGTGGCAAAATGTCAGTGAAACTACCTGATTCTACAATGTGCGATAAAATAAAGCTAAACTGGCAGCATTCTTACGATCAAAGGCAAGGTATTCAGGCAGTAGAACGCTACATGCTGTACATAAAATATAAAAAGGAAAACGCACAAGAAGAAGCATATATTGATACAGTGCTGCTGAAATGAACATAAATTATGCAGAAGATCAGCAGACACCATACACATCCAATTATATAGGTATCAAAACTACATTACAGTATGTTTCTTGCATGAAAATAAGAATTTAGTCTCATATTATGACCATAATCAGCTCCATCTGTTTAGTTTGATTATTGATGAAGGACTTATTCTCTGAAATAAGGCGAGTGTTACTTTCATTAAAATATGTAAATCTATATTGAGCTATGCAGACAGCCACACCTGATACACTTTCACGTATTCATAATTCATACATTCCATAACAGTATGCTCTAAAGAGCCATCTGGTGGCTACAGTGTGTGACAATTTGTATGAGAATTCTGCTCTACACTTTGGTGTTTTAATATGATTTTGCCATTTGAACACTTTCCTTTCCTATTGGACACGCTTCAGTGGTTCCTCAAGGAGGATTGCAAATACATCTAGTAGAGAATCATGCAAAAAATATTTAATGCTCATTTCCATTAATGTTTAAAGGACCACTATAGGCACCCAGACCACTTCAGCTTAATGAAGTGGTCTGGGTGCCAGGTCCAGCTAGGGTTAACCCTTTTTTTTTTTAATAAACATAGCAGTTTCAGAGAAACTGCTATGTTTATGTTAGGGTTAATCCAGCCTCTAGTGGCTGTCTCTTGACAGCCGCTAGAGGCGCTTGCATGCTTCTCAGTGTGATTTTCACAGTGAGAAGACGCCAGCGTCCATAGGAAAGCATTGTAAATGCTTTCCTATGAGACTGGCTGAATGCACGCGCAGCTCCTGCCGCGCATGCGCATTCAGCCGAAGAGGAGGAGAGGAGGCGGAGAGGAGGAGAAGAGATCCCTGCTCGGCGCTGGAGAAAGAGGTAAGTTTAACCCCTTCCTCCCCCCTCAGCGCCACGGGAGTGGGACCCTGAGGGTGGGGGCACCCTCAGGGCACTATAGTGGTCCTTTAAACTGCTGGTGATACCTAAACACAATTACATTATAGTTGGGATTTATTTGTTAGTTAAAAAAAAAATATATATATATATATAAATACAAAAAAACAACAACAAAAACTCCCAGTGCTCACAATTAAATTGTGCAATGTATAAATTCCTAGTTCAAATAAGGAGATATAAATATGTCAGTGAATGAAGATTGTTTTTTCCAGACAATTTTTTTCTCCCACTGTCAGAGTGGTAGTTTATGGTGAGAGGTAAGTAGCTTTCACAATCTTTCAATATATATATATTGTCAAACATATATTATCGGAATTATATAAATTTATAAACATTAATTCTCAAGATACTGTGGACTGCATGTCATTAAAGGCTGATTGCCTATTGTATTTTTCTGTGTAATATTTAATTTTACTCAGGCTGTAGATAGTTACTCAGGCTGTAGATAGTTGTATTGAGTTCTCTTAAGTCAGTAATGACTGACTTTGGCGTCATTTTTCAACATGCTCAGTCTGCTGAACCATGGGATACGTAGTGCGTTGCGGTGGAAAGAGATATCAAAGGCTTATAATGTTGAAAAAAATGTATAAAAGAAGTTGCAATATTTTTGCCAGTATTTTCCTTTATCTGTTTTGCCCTGCTCATCTGTTTTGCTATTTTAAATAGTGGCGCTGTCAATTTATAAACAAGAGCACATGAAAATAACCATAAAAATCTTGAAAGCTGTGTACTAAAATATATTTAGCTTGTTAAAGGTGGCTGTGTTGGTAGTGGCAGTTACCCCTTTATGGCTCCTCTGAATAGCCTCTTTCTTAACCAGCATTAAAAAAAAAAAAAAACATACAGGTGGGGTTTAAGCTTTTCCAAGACAAAGATAAAAATTAAAATGATCATGAAGTATTTTAACACTATAAATTATTGCACAATTATCGGTTGCAATCACAAGATGTTTGAAGTTCTAATGCCTCCAAGCTTTCCTGGGGCATCCCAGGAGGTTGACAATGCACCATGTCCATTAAACAGGAACACTCAGGAAACACAGTTGGTAGATCGCAAGATTTTATTCCAGTAAGTATAAAAGCAACTATAGGTCCTATGCATTTCATCCAGTTGCCTTGGACTTCCTCAGGGACCACTTACATTAAACGTATTAAGTAAAGTAAATAAAATATGCATATTTGTTTATGGCACTCATTTGTTTTTAATACTTTTAATGTAAGCTGCCCCTGAGGAAGTAATGTAGGACCTATAGTTGCTTTTAAGCTTAATGCAATAAAATCTTTATATTCACCGCCGGAGTTTCCTGAGTGTTTCTGGGAGACATTCAAAGGAGAAGGTGCTGTCAGCCATTGGAGAGAGGTTTGGAGGCACTATAACTTCAAACATCTTGTGATTGCAACCAATAATTGTGCAATCATTTATAGTGTTACAATTCTTCACTATCATTTGCATTTTTATCTTTGTCTAGAAAAAGCTGAAACTCCACGTGTATGTTTTTTATGACTTATAAACAAGTCTGAGTCAAGAGTGCACCTTTTTTTCCCAGATATTTTTTTCTGCCACTGTCAAAGTGGTAGTTTATGGTGAGAGGTAAGTAGCTTTCACAATCTTTCTTTTTGTTTAACCCCTTTACATTAGCTCTCATTTATACACGATTGTCATACCCCGCAATCATTTATACATAATTGCAAAGGAAATGCATTTATTGCAAACAAATTTAATTAGCAAATTATCCCTATAGTATCCTCTGAATGGTACAGCTCAGCGGCACTAAAAGCCACCTCACTGTGACTTTCATTCACACAGCTTTGCACAGAGTCTAACTCTCCGTGTCAGCTCACTCAGTGCTGATCCGGCAGGGGAGGGATGAGCAGAGGACAGATAAGCAGCCTGTCCTCTATGTTTGAGCTGCTGCTGTCCAAGGAAAGTGAACAGGGGAAGAGCCCAGCAGTTCTATCTCCATCGCCTGCCTGCACTCACAGGGACAACAGAGGTGGAAGTAAAATATTATATCACCCTACTCCATGTGAAACATAGCAAAGGAGCAGCCGGGTGGACACTGCTGTGACAGTAACACTCACACAAAGCCATCGGAGGGAGGCTGAAGGGGAAAGGAGAGCTGAGGGAGTTAAGCGGAGGAGGGTCATCTACAAACAAAACATGCAACAAAGGTTGGGGTGGCTGAACAGGTAAATACAGCCTCCCCACATACAATCTATCCCCCCACACAATCATGCTATCACATCAGCCTCTCCCCCAACACAACTCAGCAACCATGTCACATGACCCCTCTACCCGCACACACAGTCAGTCAACCTGTCATATACCCCCTTGAGCACACGCAGTCAATAACCCTGTCACATCAACCCCTCACCACAGTCAGTCACATCATCCCCTATCCTCACACTCAGTCAGTCACCCTGTCACATCACCCCCTCTCCCCACACACTCAGTTAGTCACTATGTCACATTACCCCCTCCCCTCACACATAGTCAGTTACCCTGCCACATCACCCCTACCCCCACACACAGTCACCCTGTCACATCGCCACATCCCCCCCACACAGACCGTCACCTGCCACATCATCCCTCACACAGTCACTCCTCACACTTATCCCTCACACACAGTCACATTGTCAAAGTCACCCTGTTACACTCACTCTGTCACAACCATGCCACAGTCATCCTCATAAACACACAGGCACCCTTAGGCACAAGAACCACCCCACAGAATGTATCCCTCATACTCACACAATCACATGTATGTGTCACTCTGTACATCAGTGTGTTTATGTGTGTGTGTAGGTGCATGTATAAGAGAGTATATGTGTATGCGTGTAGATATGTGGATTTATATCAATTTGTGTATGTATGCGTGCGTCTTTTTGTGTGTATCCAAAGTGGCAGTTTGACTGCAATGTAAGGGTGATATGGTATTGGTAATGTCATGGTAATGTGGCAATATATACAATATTGACGTATGTGTGTATATATATATATATATATAAAGAATAAAAGATAAGGGCTGCGCCAATGCAAAATAAAATAACAAATAGTCCAAGTAAATGAATGTAGTAAAACAAGAACGTCTTATCTAGAATATGCTCTTGGAGGTCATGGAATCTATCCGTGCTTGATCCGGAACAATTGTCCTTTTTATGTTCATCCGTCAGGGTCCGCTCGTATATAGAAGATAAAAGAGTGGAGAGCCAATAGTGTAAAATGCTTAAAACAATAAAAATGAGTAAAAAGGGAAAAATAAAACTCACATTTGAAAGAGCTAAACTTGCTCTAGTATAGAAGGCGTACAGCGGTTTGATCCCCGCTTATGGGATATAGGGTGGACTTCCTCCGTCAGTGGTGTATCCAACACTCGGGTAGAAAGAAACAGCCAATAGTGTACACTGAGTAAAATATTGGTAATAAAATTAAATTTTCCTTGACGTAGCGCTGGTGGTATAATCCCCACCTATAATTTCTTGGAGTCCGGGATGTTAAAAGGATGCCAGGTAGTAAATGAATTAGAGTGTATAAAAGGATAAGTGGCACAAATAAAAAGTAACCAAATATACTTTAATATATATAAAATACACAATTAAAAGTCCATAAACGCGTTTCGCCAACAACGGCGTTATCAATATGGGGTAAGCAAGTATTTATATATTATATACACACACACACACACACACACACACATATACACACGCACAATGGAGTGTGAACAATGTATAGGTGAGAGGATTATAGACTATGTGAGGGAAAAAAAGTAATTATGTTACATAATGAGAAATGTGATTTATTTACAACTCTGTTTTCCTATGTGTAAACTCATTGTTTTTCTGTCCAGTCAAAATGTTTGTTTTTGTCTCCATTAAATAAGGTTACCCAAGCATACCCAACACCCAAAATGCTCAGATTCTGGAGGTGTTTTTATTTATTTTTTTCAAACTATTTGGTAGTGAAGGGGTTAAGAACAATAAAAAAATCCATCAGGTTGCGATTGTGGATTTTTTACCTGACAATTACATTTTTTTTCCTATTAATATTCCTCATTTGTCTTACTTTGTAGTAAAATGGTACAATTATCAGGAACAAAAAGGAGAAAAGAATCCTAAACAGGAATAAAAAAGGTCTGAAACATGGATAACGTGGTTGCGGTACAGAGAAGACAGAAAATGTTGTACCTAATTAATCAAGGTGGAGTAACTGTTTCAAAGATAGAAAAATGGGGCATAAGCACAAAACAGGTGAAAAAGTGAAAGTTGAATGCGACAATTTTTACTCATAATCCCCAATGTGTTGACTGAATGCTTAAAGCTTTATTGCCTCACACAGCGGATTAATGCCTGCAGACAGACCTCGACTGTGTAATCCATATTCTGCCTACAAGCCTTATGTGAATAATGTTATCACTTTTATTGTAAGAGCTCAAGAAGATCAATAAAGTTTAGATTATTTATTAAAACAGTTTTTTTTTTTAAACCTTGAAAGTGCATGTGCAAATATTCTATATAATTGTATCTGCTGAGAGACAAAGCAGGTGATACGCAAATACTCAAATTACCTACATTCTATCATCTCATGCATATTGCCAAGACACATCACCAGGACTTGTCTCGTTTTCCACTGTAATATCTGTCTGAATGAGATCAGCAGCCTCAAAAAGCAGCAGTCTGCAGACTCTTACAGGGTTATTTACTGAAGTGAAAATCGTCTGGATTTCAAATTGAGTTCAAAGTGAGTTTCAAATTTAATGCAAAAACTTACTTTAAATTCCTGACAATACTCACTTTATTGAATAACTTTGTCATCAAATGGGGCATAACCTTCCACCTTACTAGCAATAATACACTATTAAATATCATATATTTTTATATTAAAGGACCACAAACAAGTTTTCCTGGCACTATAGGGTCTTTGGGTCCCCCCCCACCCTCATGGCCCACCTCCCGCAGGGGCTACATTTGCATGTCTTTTTATTACGTCTGATTTGTTTCTCAAATTATTTTTTCATTACTGAAATTCTGCTGAGCTGAACAAACATATGGATGAAATTCAGCTGCCCCCCCCCCCCACCCCTCAAAAAAAAAAATATTTTTGTTAAAAATGGATCCAAAAAAATTAGAATATCACCTGGTAAAATAACAAGAGTGGATGAACTATGTATTAAACAATAAATACGTATATTTTGAAATAATAAAATATTTGTATTTCAGGAAACTTGAATCAAAAACCAAAAATTTTGTTTGGCTCAACTGAGAGCCTTCTAGAAAATATTGTAAGGAACAACTCTACTACCCTTGGGATGCTTAGAAAGTGGGAAAGGTGTATTAACATTAATTAGCATTCAGTAAACCTCTTGTACGGCAAGCCTTGATGTACTCACTAGGGGAAATAAGCAGAAACTCCCCAAGATAGCAGCGTGTTTGTTACATAAATAATACGAACACCGTCGACATTGATATAATGACAAACAGAGAAGCTTGTGGCAAACAAATGGCATTTGAAACCACACGTTGTAGACATACTTGGCATGGTTACAAATCTAAACGTGGAATGTGTAAGAGGGGGTGATTAGAGCAAGAAAGAAAATAAACTAGCGCTCATTAAAAGAGCTTTACAGCATTAATATGGGCAACCCGCTCTTACATGAGTCAAACTACAAAGCGATTGGGGACTTTATTGGGAATTAAGTACAGCAGGCCCAAGGGGGCTCTCTTGGAGCGACCTTACCTAAAGTTAAACAAGACTTTTGCCTTCAGTATAGAATATTTAATTGACATAGTTTGTTGATAGAGGAAACATGCTAATTAATATATTGGTAGGAAGGAAGAAGAGATGACAATTAAGAATATTTTTTGCATCCTAAGGCATGCATGCTCTAATGGTATTTGTTCGGGCCTTAAAAAAGGTGCTTCATGCACCCCTTTCCACATTAAAGTATTTTTTCAACAGACTTTTTATGCAATATTTTACTTAAATATTTTCTCTGTGGTGTGTTTTTGATCTTTAAGATGTATTCAGAGCTGATCTGGCCTCGTTTAAAACATTGATATAACATAAAGACTGTGTTTGGGCACAAGAACAATTCTGTGTGGTCCACATACTGCCCCACAGGCCTTTCGTTGGACAGCCTGACTTACACCATCAATCCAGCATGCAAGAATATGAATCTTAACTATCTATAGACCACCTTAGTCAGCCTTTGATCTGCACAGATGTAAGCAATTTTTTATGATAAACTTCAAACTTGATCTTTATAACTAAATTATGCTGCACATGTCGTTGTATTATCAGTAATACCAAAGCCAACGTGAGTACTGCGCATTTTATTTTTCACCTTTATTTATTCCTGATCTACATGAGAGGACAGGGTGATTTACTGGATGTAGATACAAACTAAGTAATTAATAGTAATTCAAAAAAATCCCAACCTACTATTCCCATTAACTACACAAAGCAAAATAACAGAGGATTTTGAGTGGAGGAAGAGTGGTAAAAATGTTTTTAAATAATGAATGACTCCCAAATGGCTATATATTATATAAACATATCAGAGTATGCGCAGATTGAGTTATGTATATAAAACGGTGCCAGTTCCAAAAAGTGGTGCAAATACATATTAGGAAAGAAGTTCCCCGGGATTGTCCCTGCTGGAACCACTGCTTTCCATGGCAACTGATCCACTTTTAATACTTTATGCTACTTTTCAGAATAAAACACTTTTTTATACATAACCCCCTAATGTATCATAAAACATGGAATTCAACGCGTGCTTCAGGAAAGTTACTCCCGGCTAAAATGTATAGACACTCCACAATCTAACACTAACAAAATGATAGACGCAATCCTTAATAATATATAAATGTAGTGGGCTTTATAACAGCAGGGTAAATGGTTTATCAAACCAAATAGTGCATTTCCTGAGTTTCTGCAGAAACCTCTATTTGTTATATTGTTTTATATCAGCCTTTTCATTTCCAATTATAATATGACATTTTTAGAACATCTTTCACTAAAGGCAGTGAGTTAAGTAAGTCCTCAAGACACACCGATGGACCAGGGTTTGCCAGTACAGCCATAGGACGAGAATTTAGGAAACTCCTAAATCCTAGATGGTTGCTGTGCATTACCGTGTGGGTTGGAACCACTTGCTTGTTTAGATCTTTGACTTAAATCACCTGATTTGGAATGTATTAAAAGATGTATAAGTGCAATATAAGCTACAAACACATGGCAGGAAGCATACATATATGCACATTAAACACCCACATACACCCACCATGTGTTGGACATATGCACGCATATCAAATATACAAATTACGCATACACCATACACCATTCACTATACACAAATAAAAACACTGAAACTAGATTTATGAAACAATTTTAGCACTCAGCACCATATTCTCCATGTTTAACTAATTAAGCAATTACAGATTAAACACCATTTTGTTAACAATTTGTGAAGCTTAAAGAACCAGGAATATAGCATTAGTACATGTAAGAAAATGGATATTATATTACATGCAAAATTCATTTAAACATATGCAACATTTTTTCTTCACATTATTATTTCGTTTCTGCTGTCAATGTATTCAGTCTTAAAAAATAGGCAAAATTACTATTTTTTGTAAATTAGTTTAATACATAAATTAATTGTTTCTTCCAAATCAAAAGCCTTTTAATGCACAACCAATTGAAGAGATCTGTCTGGGAAATAAATTTAAAAAGTCAATTCACTTGGGTGGGGATTAAAATGTTTTGAATCAGACAAATTGATCCATTTATTTTACACATTTTTACACTTGTCTAGCTGTTATTATTACTATTATTATTTTTTAAATATTCAATGTTTATTGTATAAAAGTGTCTTCAAGTTGTAGTACAATAAAAAGCACAAAAGAAGTAAATGATAAAGACACAGAATAGAATACTGTAGAGTTTAGAAAAATGTACAGTATAGAGTACAAGTATTAAAGGAACTGATCAAAAAGTGTTAAAATCACTATCTAGCCCTCCTGCCCCCACCCTAAATATAGTAAAATTGTATATTTCTTTCAGTCTGTTGGTGCTGGCTCTGCCCCTGATCTGCTTAAGTCCCTTTAAGCTATCTCACCTCAGTGGTCAGGTCAAAAAGGACAACAATAAATGAGGAACACGCAGAGTCAAAATCATATTTTAAGTTCAAAGCTGTTTATTGAGCAGGATAAAAACCATTATGCAACATGCAGAAAAGTGCAATATTTAAAGTGGACATGCAGGTTCTAATAGTGAAAGTAATATGGTCATAGTATACAAAATGATCAACTGTACAAGTTTCCATAATGCAGAAGAAATATTAGTGCTATATGCATTGTAATTAAATTCCAGCAAAGACAGTGTCGTTGAAAATCTAATTTTACAGACTAAGAACAAACAAGTCATGCAATCCCCAAGACTGATCAGCAAATAGCAGATTTAAAATACCAAGAGCGGCTTGGTTGAGAAAGAAAAGGAAAGCAAGGTGAGAAAAAAAAAAAGGGAAGAGAGGGAAGAAAAAGAAACAAAATTAAAAAAAGAAAGAAAAAGAAGAGTAAAAGGGATAGTGTGTTATTAGATTGGAAGGATATAAGCTATGGAAGAAGGTCATATGGACCCAAGGCCTGTGCAGAGGTACCATTTCAGGGAGGGTACATTTATGGGTTGGGAGAGACAGAGAAGAAATCATCCATCTCTTGGAGGCTTCTGACAGATCAGATACAGTAGAACTAGGTGTTAGTACCAGGTGTTAGTACATACCACTGATAGTTGTCGGAGATAGAAAGAATAAGTTATTAATAAGATTGTATCCCTTCTACCCTGAAAATCCAGTACTGGACCATTGGTACCACTCTTCTGTTAGGTAAGTGATTGATAATTGATAATAGGTTTGAATGACACCAAATAACCATTGTGTTCCTGAAAACATGTCCCTGCCTCTGAAAATAAATCATGCATTTGTCCCTAAGAACCCTCGTAATGAGTAGAAGGATAGCACTTAATTGTCCATCTTTTCTCATTACCAAATCACTCTAATTGCCTTGACACATTTCCGCTATATATAAGCATATTGACCACATATTGCCCTACCCAT